GTGAATGAACTGATTCTAAATGAAAACAGTTATTGAATTTTAAGATTGAATTTAATTATAATTTTAGAAAATGTAAAGCAAAATTTATAATATGATATATATATTTTACTACTGAGATTCTAGTGTTCAATACATAGATGACATAGGATATGAACAAAATTAAATGAATACACATATAAAACCAACAAGAATACTATGTAGCAAAATATATTGAACAAAGACATTGTATGTGTATTGACAGCTATAAACAATCAACAATGATAATTTTTAAAGCAAGAACAAATAAAAAACAATTTCTTAATCAATTATAGATGTACAACATTTTTAGACTCCTATGGTATTTCTATTTTTATTTCCATTTCTATTTCCTGCAGACATAAAAACTGCGTGCCGTATTCAATCAGAGTTGTCAAAGCAGATAAAGTTATTAAGACCATGAATTAATTGAATTAAGTTAATTTTCACTCACAGAGCGCCCCTACACTTGGCTTGAAATCGACGGCATCTTTCAAGAAATATTTTGATAGGCTTCGTGGAATGCATTTCAGTACAATTATATAACTACAGCTGGAATTCAGCGGGGTCGGCCGCCGGTAGGGGGGGTACAGCAGTCATTAGTTTCTATTACGAGCGACGCGAGTTGACTAATTGCTCTGTCCCCAGTCCATGACCAGGCACAACGTACGGAAGCTGACGAAAGTCGCATTCAGGCGCGCATACATATAAATTGTTATAAATTGCAAATATATGGAAAATATATTTCATGCCGGCGACGTTTTATCAATGATTTATGATTACTACTGAAAAGAAATCAAGAACATTTTCTCTACTCCCAAGCTTATTTAAAATTAAATTTATTTTATATAATATGTCGCAATATTTAAACTTTATGTACTATAATTTTAAATTATTACTATTATTATTATTTTATTTTTTTATTTTTTATTATTAATTAAATATTTTCAGTCAATAATTATAATAGGAATTATAATTAAACGAATATACTCGATATATATATATATATATATATATTCGATCTCTAACAAACTCAATAAAAGATAAACGACTGATGAATGCATTAGCAATATCGTTAACTATTAAATATAATTGTAATATAAGTTTTTCTGTTGCACAACTGGAATATACCCTTTGTTTAACCATTTACATTAGATTACAAGGCATTTATATAGGATGTCGTCAGCTGCTGCGGCTGATGCTGATGTTATTATCAACAATCAGCAATCAGAGCGCAGTTTGCTCTTTGGCTTTAACATAAGACAATATTATCACGTACAGCTATAGCCGAGCCTTATCTACAGTTATGAAGATGCAGTAGTAGCCTGTAGAAGCTACCAGCATGCCAAACAGCTGATAAGAACAGAACCCGCCACCCTTTGAGGAAATGTCATTTTAGCATTGTTTCATGCGTTGCATACAAAGCGAATACGTATGCGCATGTAACCATCTGGTAAATATGTACATACATATATAATTAAAAGAAAGATCGCCACGCAAAGTCCAAGCCAACGCGCCTTTTCCTGCGTTGCCAAAGTTTGCGATAAAGTAAAAAAAAAAAAAAAATGTCTAAAAAAACTTCTCGAATGCGACCAGTGCATACAAAAGATATGCCAAGCCGTACATGCGATATGCAGAAAGCTCTATAGATAGAGGGGGAGGTACAGAAACACACAGAGAGAGAGATAGATAGAGAGAAGGCGAGAATAAAAGAGGAAAAACTATGGCAAACAATGGGAAACGCCATAGAAACTTTGATTTCAAATGGCAACCAGACGACTTGGCGCGACTCGCCTTTGATAAAATGTTGAAAATGTTACGAGTAAAACGCATTGAAAGTCTTTCCAATACGGAACGGAAATGCGGCACAGACCCAGAAATGGGCCGAACGTTTGTGCGTTTTGCCTCCACCATAGAACACTCCGTCCACACATGGCAAGGCCTAGATATGGCTGTGGCATACAGGTGCAGCAAGAAAAAACATAAAGATTTTGCAATCGGCATACTTAGTAGTATTTAGTAATACTTATGGCATATGAATATACAAATTTAAGGGTTTATTGCTAATTAATTTAAAATTAACAATTTTTTGTAACAGCATTAAGGCTCTCTCATCAAAGGCAAAAAAAAAAAAAAATAATAATAATAATAATAATAATAATCGAGACCCAACTAATATGTGCACAAAACTAATGGGAAGGCGTCTAAACACATGTCACGTCCTGATCCTTTCAAATAGGCAATAGATGAAAAATAGATAGGCAATAGAAAATTTAAATATATGGATTGTTCTCAATGGAGTTCAAACCATTCAATCAATTTACATTTTATTTAGGTTACAACAGATTACAAAAAGAAAAAAATAAGAAAATTATTACTGCTCTGTTCTTAAACTGTATATATGTATAAGCTATTTAAAAGATAATATAAACTGTATTGTAAATGTATTTACTATGATGTAGAATTAAATATTCGCAATGATGATATATGATATATTTATTTATTTATTTATTATATATTATATTCCCTTTATTTATTTCTATAATTTGTTTCATATAAAGAATCAAAAAGTTTAAGAAATATATTCACTTTTAGCATATTTAGATATAAATAATTAATATATTTATATTTTTATATATTTATTTTCTTTTTTTTTTATTTAAGAAAGTTTTTTAATATTTATGCAGGATAACTAATTACAATAAAAATTATACATATATTCAAATATTGATTTTGAATTATATATATCTACATTAATTATATATATCTACAAAAAAAAAAAAAAAAAAAAAAAAATTGTCGTCACTTTTATTTGAATGATTGAAAAGCTTCGCTTCCGTCAGTTTCTTAACATTCTCTTATTTTTACTACAAATACTTCTACTAGTACTCTGCTGCACAACCGACTAACTTCAAGATAATTTATCAAACAAAAAATAAAAACATAAATATAATACTAAAAAAAACCAATTCATATCTATATTAAAGTTGTTCTGCCATATCATATTTCTACACATTCAGAGAACCACAGCAACAACAAAGGACAGAATGAACAACTTAATTCAATCGAGCTGCGATAATCACAACAAATTACACAGACAAACATTGGGAACATGGCCAATAAAGTTATCAAACCACTTGACGGTCAACGAAGACTGAAAAAAGAGGGGAAAACAAAAACAACAAATACAAATAAAATTACCAAAAATCTACGAAACAGCACGTAAAATTCTCAGGAAAAAAACAGATGCCGCGACAGATTTTTGAATGGGGTTTGTTTGATATATATGTACATATGTACAGGCATGAATGTGTATCTGAAATAATAATAAAAATTATGTTGGCGCCATGAATGACAACAGAGACGCACAGTAATTGGAAACTAAAATTGAAACATTTGTATTTTTTTTTTAGTTTCGGATTCTTTTTTTTTTTTTTTTAGTTAAGCCGGCATGCGACATGCCCAAATGTTGGCATGCTAAAGATAAAGATATTTGCATAATTGCGTGATTCGCATGCCACCAAATGCGTGAATCATATGTGTGTGGAGAATATGTTTAATAATTTGTTATTCTGATTGTTGTTGTAGCTGCTGTTTCTGTTGTTGTTGTTGTTTTTGTTTAAGGAAACTTTAGCTTGAATGGATAGAGCTAAATAAAAACCCAATGAGTCAAGTGACGATTGTCAAGTGTGTCGTTGATTAGATCATCATAGAACCGCAGACCAATTGATCTCAAACTGTGGGCCAACGAACTGCAACTGCAACTCAAATGCAACAATTGTAGTTGTTGTTGTTGTTGCTGTTGCTGTTGCTGTTGCGCGGCATAAATCACTTGAAATGCCGCACGGCAATACAATGGAGTGGAGCAGCATGGGCATAGCTATAATATCGAAAGAGGAAACACACGCCAGACCCCAGCCACAGATTTAGATACTACTATAAAAACCGTTCATAAGACGCCAACTTTACCTGCTTTTTACCTGCCATGCTCATTTTCCCCTTTTCTTCTTCTTTTTCTTCACTCCCTCACTACAAACATTAACCAACCAAACCAAATGCCGACCGAGAGCCAATCGAAGGGCCAACATGTTCGATCGTTGCACGTTTGGCATTCATTTGGTTCGAGTTGCGATTCGCTACGAGTTTGTTTTGATTAATCAAATTACCCAAAGAGGGAAATTTGTTTATAGATAACAGAAATTGGTTGTCGTCACTGCAATGATTGCGTCGTTTTAACAAAAAGCCTAAATATGTTATAAATAAATTTAAATAAAATCAGAAAATTAATAAACATTTTATAATAATTTTTAATCCATTTTATTTTTAGCCATTAAGACAGCTAATTTTAGTTTAGTAATTAATATTTGCTATGAGCAAAAATATTGAAGATATTAAACGAAAACGAAGGCTTCATATTCTTATATGAAGAAGAAATTGACTACATTTGAGTCGTGAATGAGTATTCTGCAGTCAGTAACGTTCAGCTGCAATGGCTTGACACTTTTTTTTCCTTTTTTTTAATGATAAAATGTAGTTAAATATTTATAGAAATTAATTTATTAAAATTACTTTGGAGTTTTTTTTTTTCTTTTTTTTTTTTTTTTTTTAATAGAAAGTATATTTTAATGACACAGAATTTGTTAGTTTCATACAAAAATATTGTTTACTGCCTCAGAATTCCTTAAAATAAAATGTACTAAATATTACTAAAAATCATGTAAAATAATCTAATTTCAGTTACCTCGTTATAAGGTTGTCATATCTGATGCAAACAATAAAATGCATATATATTAAATAATATTTAAAAAAAAATGGAAAAAAACGCCAAAGACCACAGCATTGCAATCAAATACTGGGAAATTTCACTTTTATATACAACCTCAAACGCGAACATGTTCGAACGACTGTCAGGCTGGCAGCCGCATGCCGATGCATGGCATGCCGAAAGAGATTCGGCGGCAAACCAGTTTTTGTTGCGCGCTCAGTCAACGACGGGCAGCTGGCGTGAACAGTTCGCAGTTCGCAAAACGCAGTTCGAAACGGTTAACGGCTCGACGACGGTCGCGCGTTTGCTTGGCGTGCCAAAAAGCAAGAAGAGCAAACATACACAAACACACACACAGAGCATTGAAAATAAAATTTTGCCAAATCCATTCAAAATTGGTTTTTTCAATCGCAACGCGAAGAAATGCGACGCGGCATACAACTAACAGCCAAATCAAATCACAAATAAATCAAAGCAAACAAATAAAGTATGTGTATGCAGTCGGTTACTAAATATATGTATATGTATATACTATACGCATATAGCGAATAGAATGAAATTGGTCAGCGGAAATATGACAACACATACGAAACGTGTTTGACATGACAAAGAAACGCGCCAACTCAATAAATAATAAGCTAAGAGACGACAAATAAACATAATAAACAAACCGGAGAATTATGCCCAAGAAATTGGCTCGAACGCACTTCAAGATACATTTGTATCTTTCAGTGCAGTTGTCTGCGTTTTTAATACAGTTTGTTGTTGTTTTAACCATTTTCTTGTTTTGTGCGAAAGTAAAAACTACCTGCAACACTTGGGCAACTGGGCGGGAAACCAGTTTTGTGAAAATTATTGGCCATTGCATTTGTTTTGCTCGTTTTTTCGCTGTTTCAGTTTAGGTTGTTGTTTTTGCATTTATTTTCTTATTTCGTTGCGACTCGCTCCCCACATAAAAATAATAACTAGAAATTGGCCATTCAATTGGCTGCTGCTGCTGTTGCTGCTGCAAGTGTTGCACAACGACAGATTCGCAAGTTATTGTGCATTTGTGTGTGTGTGCAGCGGTCAGCTGAAGGTGCTGCAGTTGCAATGGAATCAAGGATTAAAACTCGATAAAGAGGGAAACATAAATATGTACACATATTAGATATAGACATCAGTTTTTTTGCTAAGGGATAGAAGAAAGGATTTTCGCTCAAGAAAGGCAGTTCTTTTAATGAGGCATGCATAAATATATACAAAGTTAGATATTTCCTTAATATTTTATTAGAATGGGCTACTCAAAACAAGATTTTTTGAAAATTTTATATGTTATACAAATATATTAAATATTGTAAATATAGCAAAATTTTAAAATAAAATTTCAGTCTATATTTAGAATAAAACTTACTTCAAACTTACGTTTTTCATATCAAACTTTCAAACATAATTATAAAGAAAACGATCAATATAGTAATTTTTAAAACTAAATAAAAATCTATTTTTTTTTTATAATAACATATATATTTATATATTTTATATAATTATAAAACAATTGATTTGATTTTAAAATAAAATTAAAAATAATAAATAAATAGTATTTCAAAATTTGATTTAGAGCTGACTCTTTATTGTTCAAGGACATGTTTTAATTTTTCGTTAAAAGAAAATTGACGAACTGCCTTAAATGTTCTTTTCATATTTTTGATTTGGAACTGACACAAAATCTGTAAAAAGCAATATAATGAAATATTTAAAACTTTCAATAAAAATCATTAGGTACATATATACCAAATTATATAAAATGAAATGATTAGGATAAAGACAAATTACTGGTAGCTCTCGCATAAAAAAAACACGAAAAATGGAAAATCATACAATCAATATAATATGAAAGATATACAAAAACTATTTGCAATTAATTAAAAGAAATTTTCAAAAATAATTATAAATTGATTTTAAATATACATACAAATATGTATGCATATAGATAAATATACTTTTTGGCACTAATAACAAACAGCTCTGCTCTATAAGTGACCTTTTGCATAAAACTCAAAGTGAATTTCGAGATAAATAATCAAATAATTATTATTTTTACAAACTTCTAGCCCACAGTTAAATCAAATTAAATATACAACAAAAAGTGCGTGAATAATCAACTGCAGTTCTATAACTCATATATATTCATATATACACATATATATAACGATCAAAGTGCAGCAGAGGAACGCTCTCAATAAAAATCTACGCGCCTTGAAACGCCCCTTGAAAATAATTATTGAAGAGAAGAAACAATCTAACAACAACAACAAGCAACAACGGCATGCTGATGCACACCACATCCACCACATCGACAGCCACGATGACCAACTCATCCTCCTCAGCCACGCCCACACCGGGCTCGACATCGTCCAACAACAGCGCCACGCTGGAAACGCTGCAACAACAGCAGCAACAACAGCAGCAACTGCAACATCAACTGCAGCAATTGCATACGACATCGTCTAACAATTCGCGTCCACCATCCCGAGCGCCCTCCATACTGGACAGTCCGACGCTGGCGCGTGTAGAACGCGCTCGACTGCGTCTGGAGCAGCAGGAACGTGAACGCGAACGCAGCAGCCAGCGCAGCAGTCAAGGGGGCGGCGGTGGTGGCGGCGGAGGTGGCAGCAGTAGCGGCACAGGCAGCACAGCAACGACCATGAATCGTGAGGATAGCCTGGAGCGCAGCATATTGGATCCAAAGGTGAGTCCAAGTCCAAACCAACTCCAGTACTCACAAAAACATACACACACACTGAGCTATATATACATACATATATATAAATTACAATTAAGTTTCCATCAAGGTTGGATTTAGTGATGTGAAAATGAAAAGATTATAATGTCTGGCATGATATAGGGGCAAAGTCGAAGCATGATGGCAAAGATAGGTAAGCCACTCAGACAAGTCCTTAAGTCTCTCAAGATTGGGAATTAAATCAATGGGTTTGTTAAGTGGGCAACCAAGCGCAGCAGCAGCAAATGCCTCAAGTGCTGCAGATAAACTATATCGATCAGTTAATTGATACGAAACTTGATTGAGGAGGTGTCAACAAAGTTCTATGTAAAAGCATAGAGCTAAAGAAACAAGTAGTCTATACTATATAGACTTTCATATAAGAGACAGTATTTAATTGATTAAGAGTTAAGTGCTATAAATATATATACTTAAGATATATGTAGATTTATAAAAAATATGCTGGCAAAGAAACACTAAGTAAAGTAACACTAAATACGTATGATATTATCAATAAAATAAATAGGTTTATCAAGAAAGAGTAAATATTTTATTTATCTTAGAATTGCTTATATAACAAAACAATTCCTTCATATACGCAAAATATATTTGAGTATAAAAACTTGTACTGTTTTAAGTCATTCAATCTTCTTGGTGGTTTTTAATAACTTCAAAATTTTACCTTTGGAGAGTACGAAAAGAGTCTTGCCTCAACGAAAATCACAGGAATTTTTAAGAGCGCACCGCTAAAGAATTTGCTGTAAAAGTTTCTGTGGTATTCACATTGAAGTGTTTTGATAATCTTATTTAACCTGAAATCATCTTAGGTAAATTTTGTTACATATTATCTTTGAGCTAGTAACTCATTTTTTATTTTTTTTTACATGTCATTATATATTATCTAAATAAATTCATCTAGTCTTGACTCATTCATCTATTCATTTATATTATTTAGATAATATACTCATGGACATTAAATCGAATAGCTCTAGCTTCATTATGTCAAATGTGTTTATCGCATGTCTGCATTGGACAAGCTAATACATGGAATCGATATGAAATAGAAATGTATAAATATTTTATATATACATGAAAGGCCTATAGCTGTATGACGCAAATGCTCTTTGTTCTCGATTGAAACCCATCATAGCCAAATCTCTCGATGGCTCATTTGCAGCTATAAAATTTAGATTATACAACAACATATCAAGCCAAGATCTCTGTCAGTTTGGTATTTAAAATCCAGTAATGCTGCTGAGTCATCCATCCATTTGTCCCCATGCCATGACAGTTGTTGACAAATCTAAACTAGCTTCGGTTTCTAGCCAAACAGCTGTCGTTTAAGCGGAGTAATTTCATTTGAAAGTAACTTTCGATTCATTTCAATAGCCTTAGCTCATCAGTGAATTTTATTTGAGTTTGATTTAAATTGAAATCAAGCAGGAGTTATTTTATTAATATATTTATTATAGTTTAAGAAATTAAGAAAATTTTGATCTAGAATACATCTTTAGTTAATTAAAAATTAATGTAAATTAATTAATTAAAACTTAATTTTTTTATTTATAATATTTTTGAACTATTGAAAAAATTTGTGTATTTATAATACAAAAACTAAATATATATAAAAAAAAAAAAAAATCCGCTAGCTTTTATACTTTACTTTTCTTTTCAATAATTCAGATTTTAGTTTCAAATGCAAAACCTTGATTTTTTGTAGCTTTTAACTTGTTAGAAGTTAAAATCAACACATAATACTTTAATCTTGGCTCTCTGTCAATCCTCCAGACGGCAATAAATGTCATTTTGGATGAGGCAAATTAGTCGTTGAGAAAAAAATAAACAGAAACAGAAGCAGCAACATAATGCGAGTGTATTCACATTCATTGTCGCAGCTAAACCGAATAAGCCATGTTCACATTTCCTTTCTGGCCCTGTGCCTGACCAGCTCTTGACAGCATTTCACTAATGGCCAGAAACCAACTTCATTTTCCCAAGCTATTTGTAGCCGTACTGTGCAGATATGTATATGTATATGTTTGTGTATGTATGTATGTATGTAAATGCTTTTTATTTTGTTATTATTTTGTTAACACTCTTATCTGTCGGATTTTATCTGAACTGTGTCTATTATCTGAGCTGTTGGCATTCTGCTCTCATCATCTATGCAGCATAAGCTCTGAAGCTCTACTTGTTCTTATTTTTTAAAGCTTTCTGCACTCTTGTTGTCCTATTCGTTTCCATATTTTCAACACCAGCCCTATGTCAACTTGGCCGAAAATAGGTAACTTATAAACTTGGCCAGGTAGCTGGCCATGTTTTGTTGGTACTTGTTTGCTTAGGCGGCTCTGCGCAACAAGAAACTAAGATAATGAATTGCAAAAGATACGGTCTTAAGATACGCACTATCGCTATCTATGTATCTATGTTTGTATCTATGCTGGGTAAACACTGCTCGAAGACGAATCGTTTGCGATTACATGATCGATGGGCCTCCTATGCTTAAGCAATGAGTCCAACAAGCACAGTAAATAAACGTGGCGGAAGCAGAAGCTTTGCTTTCGGCAAGAGAGCTTTGGGCTCTGCTATGGTATATTATATACCTAAATAAATGTGAATTAAGGAAAAGCATAGACTTTCTAAGTACATAGTCCATAGTAGTATAACAATTAAATGGAAACCACATCTATTTTATCAATTAATACATTTGACAATCTTTCTATTCCCTTCTTTATTCAACTATTTACATGTTCCTCTAGCCCTCTGTTCCACTATATCTAACTCTCTGTTATTCTATCTTCCTATTCCGCTATATTGATCTCTCTCTGTGCATTTGTCCCTTTATCTCTGCTCCTTTATACCTCTCTCAGTCTCTCTCTTTCTCTCTGTTGCTCCATCTCTTCTTTCCACTATATTTCTGTCTGTTCCTCTATCTCTGTGTTCCTTCATAGATCTCTCTCTCTCTCTCTCTCTCTCTCTCTCTCTCTCTCTCTCTCTCTCTCTCTCTCTCTCTCTCTCTCTCTCTCTCTCTCTCCCTCTCTCTCTCTCTCTCTCTCTACAGTTTTCTCTCTGTCTCTCTGCACATTTCTCTCTCTCTCTCTCTCTACAGTTTTCTCTCTGTCTCTCTGCACATTTGCTCTCTCTCTCTCTCTCTCTCTCTCTCTCTCTCTCTCTCTCTCTCTCTCTCTACAGTTTTTCTCTCTGTCTCTCTGCACATTTCTCTCTCTCTCTCTCTCTCTCTCTCTCTCTCTCTCTCTCTCTCTCTCTCTCTACAGTTTTCTCTCTGTCTCTCTGCACTTTTGCTCTCTCTCTCTCTCTCTCTCTCTGATTTTTGTTTTATTATTCTCCCTCTCTCTTCCTTTGTACCTTTCTCTCTCTCGATTTCCTACTCCCTCCATATTCTCCCTGCCTCTTTCAATTGCTAAGCCAATCTCCTTAAGTACTCACCCTTCGTGTTCTTACATAATTTCAATGTTAAGCAATGCAATTCTGTTTGGACCACATAAGTTTTTGACCTGCTGAATGCTGAATCCGTTAGCCTTTTCCAATTCACTTTGGCTCCAAGCCAATGTTTAGCCAACAAAATTGACTGATTACCTGAGAGCTCTCAAGTAGAGCATGCCAAGCCAAGCCAAGTATTTGCTGATATGTTCCCCGCTCTGCTTGTCCAGCAATGGCGGGGCAACAAATTGAATGTAGAACTTGTGTCTGGTTGCAAATTGTCTGCATAATTTCCGCAACGTTGCAACGAAATGTTGCCAAATATTTGCGCAGTTGTTGTCAATGCATTTCGACTGGTAAACGGAGGCTGAGCACATTGACAGGCGAATGCCGAAGGTCGATAAATTTGCTTGTGCAACATTCTCTTTTTGCTTTCTCACTCTTTCTTTGCCAATTTGCTATAAGCCAAGTTTTCGTATTTCATGTTTTTTTTTTTTCTTGTTTGACTTTTGACGGCGACATAAAATCAATGCTGCACATTTGAGAGAGCCCATTTGCTGCTGAACTGTTCAGGCACTGCTGGCTGCACAGGTATGGGTGGAGTTCATCGAACCCCAACGGCCTAACGCTTCAAGTGCTTAAGACATTAAGACGAGTTCATAATTAGTCACACTTAAAAAGCCATTGGCCCTCAAAGTTTTGTGCTCCGTTAGTGACCGCGTCAGAAATATGAGCAAAGCCAGCGAGGAAAAACCATGAAACAAGCGGCTAGCAAAAAACAAAAAAACACAAAGCAAAACACCAGCAAAATTGTAACCAGAGACATGCTGGACTGACAGACAGACAGACAGCGCACCAAAGTTATGAGTAGGAAGCGCCAGGGCAACTCAGTCGAGCAGAGAGAGGGAGAGAGAGCGCGCTCACTCACTCGCTCGCTCACAAATGGAAAGTAAACAGCAGAAATCTCGGCAAGAAAATCGAGGGAAAAACTTGGTACGTGCCCGCTCACCATATGGCCGGACTTTCGTCAGATATAACACATAGTTGGCCCAATGTACACGGACATTGCAGCACATTGTCCGACAGAGTCGTTTTGGCCAGTTTCTGCTATGCTGCTATGGCCAAGCCTCGCTGCACTCGAGTGCAGTTGCCAAAGGGCTCAAGTCGCGTATCTGGAGCAGAAAACATCCAACGGTATGTGGGAGAAATGTGGAAGATTGTCTCTGTGTGTGTTGGGTGAAATTTAGCAAGAAAAAACCAAAAAAAAAAAGAACAAAAAATTTTTAAGGTTTTTTTTTTTTTTTTTTTTTTTTTTTTTTTGCATAGAATTGCAATGGTCTATGTAAAAGTTGTATGCAAGCTTCTTAGTAGAAATATAAAATACCTTCGGAATATATATGTAATCATTATACAATAAGCAACCTTATCCAATTGGACTCTCTTTTTTATGAATATCTACATATTTTATGTAGTTGCTGACGTCTATTCTACTATTTGTGAAAATAAATTAAATTATGAGTACACTC